GGATAGCTGAACTGCAATGGTTCCAATTTGTTCCAACTAATCTCTCACCTGCTGGAAATATCGTTCCAGAGTTTGTTGTAGCTGCCGCGTTGTGGGTTTCACCAAGCCATCGACCTTGCTAATGGGCACTGTTTGCCTCTGAGGAATGAGATGGGGCTTGGAGGGCTTTACAGGAACTTACGATGTGGGGGTTAGATCTGTCAGTTGCCTAAGGTACTATTTAAATAACATACACAAACACACACAAACACACACACTACTCAACACCTCAGGGTTATTTTTTTACCAATTTAAATGCCAAAGGACAGTATTTGTGTCACCTTGTTGAGAGAAACTGAACCTCAAAATGGATCTAAAAGACAATCCAAGAGCAACCACCTTCATAACCTTTGAGGGAACTTGAAGGGTAGGCACTATCAGTTTTCTCTCAACATTTCAAAATACAATTTAGAGATGTAGCAGAAAGACATTCTTTGGAAATGATTGATGTGCACACCGAATTTAAAAACAAGTCGCAAAAAGACTTTAATGCTAACACTGATGTGCCAATAAAATAATAACAAGTGCTATTTGCTGTGTTGTGCTGCTGTGCTGTGCTGTGCTGCTGTGTTTTGTGCTGCTGTGTTTTGTGCTGCTGTGCTGTGCTGCTGTGCTGTGCTGCTGTGTTTTGTGCTGCTGTGCTGTGCTGCTGTGCTGTGCTGCTGTGCTGTGCTGCTGTGCGTTTTGTGCTGCTGTGCTGTGCTGCTGTGCTGCTGTGCTGCCTCTACCAAAGCAGAGAAGCAGTGACGGAGAACACTGTCAGCTGCACTGCTCCCTAGTCCTAGAACAAGCGACCGTCCTCTTAGAAGTAAGGCAAAATAAAAACAAACAAAACCCCTAAATTTTATTGAGTTGCTAATATGTACACCATAATATACTCTTTATATGTGAGACTATTTTTAATGCGCCTTGTGCTTCCCTTTTAATTGATCCTACTTTAGCTGCAGCTTTTGTGAACTCTTGAATGTAATGGGACAACCTGACAAAACAGTGAGAGCAATGGAATAGTTCATGGATTACTTCCTACAATACGGTGGAACTGACATTTACTGCAAGGGAGATTTTGTCTCAGTAATTTTAAAGCACTTCAGCTGTTAGGCTAGTGTTTTAGAAGACATGTCACAGAGCTGACATGCTATTCCAACTAATATTCCCTTAATACAAAATAAAACAAATAAATGATGTATTTTGGGTAAAAACGTTTCAGTGTTTGCAGAACTTGAACCATGTTCAATGTTTTTCATAACAGAGGGAGCGTGCTAACACCTGCTCCTCTTCCTCTGTGCCACTCTCTCCTCTACCAACACACGTCTAGCTTGGCTCAACTGCCATGGGTGCCTATGGAAAACTGTCAGTCCTGATGGGAAATGATGTGTGCTTTCACAGAAATCTAAAAGGAGTTTTAGTCAGGCATATAAAATCTTCCAGGGCCAGCAAAACGACATACAGGGTGGTAAAGGCGCTCTATACCAAGCTCGGCAACTCCAGCTCCACCACTAAGGTCAAAGCTGTTGGGAATATTATTTTAAGGAGTGTAACTTTTGTTTATGCTGTGGAACATTTGTTTTATGATGTAAAGATGTGTTGTTTTTATTTATGCTGCATTTGTTTAACTCTGTGAAGCTGTGGTTCTTTGTCTGTTCAAAACCCCTGATGGTCCAATAAAGAGCTCAAGGCAGTGGTGAGGTGGGAGAGGGATAGGTGGGGCGGGCGGGGGGGCGGGGGCAGGCAGGCAGAGAGAATAAATAGAAGGAGAAAAGAGAAAGAGGGAGAGCAACAAGAGAATGAGGATGCCAGGGGCCAGCCACCCAGCCAACCACGGAGTAAGAGTGAAAGTAAGATATACAGAAGAAAGGAAAAAGCCTGGAGGCAAAAGGCAGTCGGGATAATTTAAGTAAAGCTGGTAAGAAACAAGCCAAGCTAAGGCTGGGCATTAGTAAATAAGAATAAGTCTCCGTGTGTGATTTATTTGGGAGCTCGGTAGTGCCTCCCCCAAAAGTCAAAAGACTAAAAAAACCAAAATTAAAACATAGTACAAAAACCAAATCCTGCATGCTGTTTGGTGACCCCTGCAAGCACACCTGTGTGCCACAGTGTGCTGTGGGAAGTCACCAGACACTGTGCAGCACCCACTCTACCTGGAGTGCAGTAGAAACAGACTTCAGCGACACATCCACTAAAACCCCATCTGCAGAGATGCATCAGGTACAGATTCAGACTTAAGAAATATAGTTGGAAAACAATTACATCAATATCTTAAAAGTTTGAATTTACAAATACATTATCACTATTTTTTAACTATGAAATCAGAAATGATATATATTTCCAAATTTTGAAAATACCTTAAGAAAAACACAAATATAAATGCTTTACGACCATCTACTATGTTTGAGTTTCTACAATGTTGTCACACTAAATGCTAGAATTATGAACATGTAACTATTCAGATACTAGCATTTCTCTTCATATAAATGCATCTGGTTGTCTCACAAATACGGAGCTCAATTTGTCACTGACCGAAAGATCCTATCCCTCTATCAACAACAATAACAACAAATCAGTAATCTGAACTGTAAGATAACTTCCTAGCCAAACTGAAAGACTGCCTCGTGGGCTATTTGCTGGGATTGGGGTACTAAGCTGATCAGCCAATTGCTAGGCAGGAGGTATAGGCAGGATTTCTGGGGAAAGAAAAGAAAAGGAGGAGAATCTGGGTGCATCGGAGACACTAGGAGATACAGGAAACAGGAGGTGCAAGATAGAAGAGAGGTAATGCCACAAGTAACAGAAAAATGGGTTAAGTTATAGGAGCTAGTGGCCAAGTTTTCACAACTAATAAGTCTCCATTTGCGAACTGGCTGGTGGGACAGAGAAAAACTTGTTCCACTGTCTAAAAGGAAATCTGAACCTAAAGGAAAAGAAGTAACCCCAAGTTCCTGTTTCTCCTCCAGCAGCTGACTGCATGTTCTTAACTCTTCCACTTTGTTCCAACATGTTCAGTCTTGTAGTCTGTAACTGGATTACCCCGCGGCTGACGGAGCGAGGGAGAGCATGCTCCACATGTTCAGTGTTGATGCTCTTTCCTGTCTCGTAGTGGGATGTTAATTGTTACTTTTTCACTACAATGGATTGTTTGGATTAAATAATATCCAATATTTCTCATTCACGAGGATGTAGGATCCACACTCTTCTGGTCCTGTAGGTACCCAGGTTTCTCCCCCTTTTGTTCATGGTGATTTGCAGGGCCATTTTACCTCTGGCTCCCTGGCTCTTCTGCTCTTGCATGGGCCTGAGGGTTTAGCTTAGAAAGAACTTGGCCCTCTTTTGTTATGGTAACTCCACCTGTAAACAAGGTTCCAGCGCCTGGCACCTGTCATCCTCCTCCACTGCTCCTGATGGGAGGGGGCTTTGCCCTTTTGCTCCCTTGCCCCCTAGTATATATACCCGGCTTGAGTTTAATAAAGTGGCCATTTACTCTTTGGTGAATGAGCAAGGTTTCTTTGTGTCTGTGTGATTCAACCCTTAGGATATTCATCCATTCTCGTGGGCTTGGTTCGGGAAAGCGCACGCCTGTTCTGAGGTCTGGGTATTCACAGAAAAGTGCGAAGGTCAACATGGTCCATCTGCTATCTAAACCCAGGGTTCCCCCAGCCACCAGCTTCCCCCATGGCTGTCATTTCCTAAGATCTCATGTGTATATTTTCTATGAACAGAATCAGAACTTCCGCTTGCACTGGAGACTCGTGCTGCAGAGCCGGAGCAGTGAAGACCAGCACAGGCAGTTCCAGGTCTACTCAGTTCAGGTATCAGGACTGGAGGACTGGCCTTTATTTTTCTCTTTAATCCAAGACAGGGTTTCTCTGTGTAGCCCTGGCTGTCTTGGAACTCCCTCTGTAGACCAGGCTGGCCCTCAACTCAGAGATCAGCCTGCCTCTGCCTCCTAAATGCTGGGATTAAAGGTGTGCGCCACTGTTGCTAGGCAGGACCGGTCTTCTCTAGCTACCATGATGCAGAAATGACTGACAGGCCACAGCATACACATTAAGCATGGTCCACACAGGGATAGTATCTCTCTTCAAAACTGCTGCCTTTTAGTTGCTACTAGAGATTTGGGACAGTCTAATGTCCCTGCTTTAATTTTTTTCATGGAGAAAACAATACTTCCTTGAATACTATTACATTCTGAAGCCCTTTAAGTAAACATGAAACTAAATAAGTCAGTTCCAGTAAGCAAATAGTGGAGATCACACCAAAGGGGTGGGAACAGGGTGGGAGAATGAGGAGTAAGAGGAAGAGACAGCATCGTGCAAACCAGGTTAACCCCTCAAAGGCGCAGAGACCTACAGTCTGAATAGTACATGGATCCCCGAGACTTCAGCTAATGCTTTCATGTTTCAGTTCTAGTCTCCTTATTCACAGAACAGGGAGAGCAGCAGTAGATGACCTGTGGCTCTTCAGACGCACGTGAAGATTTGATACTAAGCTATCTATTTACAGCCAAGTGCTTACTGTACCTCAAAACCCTTCTTTATGCATTTGAAGTGAGCTCATCTATACATGCTCCCTTTTATATGTATCTTGAAACTCATCCATCATCCATATAATTTTCTTCATATGCAGTAAGATTACCGAAAAACAAAAAAGTACATCAATTCCTTTAGAAGAACATTAAGAGAAAAGAAATTAATTATGATTAATATCTCTGAAAAAGCAACAAGAAAATACAAGGTTTCAGCTTCCAGGCAACTATGCCTTGATAGGCAGGAACTTTCTGTCATTGAGGACTTAGCTGCTCCCTCAAACTCATATCTGCCTTTGAATCTTTAGGTTAATCTTCTGATCTTCTGAAAAATACGTCAACTATTCATTATCTGGCAAGAGAGTCAAACTTACTGACAGACCTGATAGGCGTGTGTCTATCTTCTCACAGAAAATAAAGTGTCTGAGTATGATTTCCATACCTGGTCCATTAAGAAAGTCTTTAATTTGTAGTGTAACAAGGGAAGGTGGAATTCCACTTTTACTGTCTGTTTCTCCAGGCACCGTCTGTAGCCACACAGTGTTGTAGTCAAGGGCTTCTGGCAGAGTCTTCCCAGGATCTAAGTGACAAAATAGAAGTGAAACACACTGATTAAATCACAAGCATCTCAATTTGGTGTGTGAATCTTGGTGGACAAGTAAGATCAAAGTATGGTTAACCTGCTGTATACAAACTTCATTACTTCCTGTATTTGCAGGCATACGGGGTGTGTGTTACACACACACATATACAAATGTATCAAAAAATATAAACCAAGTACACAAGACATGATGGATAACAGGGAACTAGATCAAAATACTTTCAAAGTTCGAGTCACGGGAACTGTGTGATGGTAAAGATCGGATGCTGATGATTGGCTCCCACTTCACACACAATGCTGGAAACAAAGGAGAATGGCAAGCTCGTCAGCTTAAAAATGAGGCTCAAACGCTTTCAAAAGATGCAATAGATTAGAATTTCTCTGGGGTTAACTGGATCTGTTTTAGAGTTTGTCTGACATCACAATCATTTTTATGGCTAAGCTTTTGAAGTTGCCGTCGGTAGCCTTCCCAAAAACCATTTTCCCATGATGATAAAGCTTGGTCAACCTTTTACTAGTTCTAATTAGGACTATAACTTTAGACTCTTTCTATTTTGACATTTTCCATTTTATATTCCGTATTTCAATTTTTTTTTCTGTTTAGCATTACATATCCTTTAAGATTATTTTTTGGATACAGGCAATGCCAAAGAACTTGCTTTTAAAGGCTTGGAAATCTATAGTTTTTTTTTTTATTTAGATAACTCTAAATAAAAATGACTGTTGTATGTTGGCATATAATAGGCTTTAAAAATATCTTTTCAATATCCAGTTTTTCTTCAGTTTCACTGTTGCTTTATTCTCTGTGTTTTAATGCCCTTTGAATGCCATTTTTATAGAGATGTTCTTGCCATAGAACCCATCCATCCCATTTTCAGCCTATCTGAAATGTGTTATTAAAGCATTATTTATTTTAGGCTTTATTGATTGGCTTGCTTTCAAGAATAGCATTTACATATAGTATATTAGATTCAACATATGGTTATATAGTATTACTGTCATATGTGAACTGGGCATATAAATTCTGCCTTGGAATTTGTGTTTTTTGACCTTATCATGTGATCCTTATGAAATTTGGCACATATGAACCTTTATGTTATTTCAAAGAAAATCCTGAAAGCGATTGATTGTGACGTTCAATGTATGTGGTAAAGATCAAACACAAGCTAGTGCATGCTTCCCTTTCATGACTGCAGAATGTGAAGCAGGGGACTAGGAAGGGTAACCCCACTGCAGAGGAAAAGGACACTGTTCTCTCCTCCAGACACAGCAGGCAAGGCTGCTGAGAGCATGGTCACTTCTGTTGCTGGAAGACTCAACTTAGTTTGCAGGAGCCGTGTAACTATCAGTCCGAGTGTCTCGTCCCAAGGTACCATCTATCGACACACCATCAAAAGTGAGATCTCTATAAGGAGACATTCTCACTTTGAAGGGAAAACAATCAAGCAGTAAATAAGGTGATCTAAGAGGTGTGGTAACTAACGACAATAAATAGAAACCCATCTATTTATTGTTGCGGGGACACTAAACACGACCCACTGGCAAGGAAAACTCAAAACAGCTCAAAGGAACTGCACAGTTCAATTTTCTGGAAGCTGGAAGTTTATTGTACTTATGGTTTTAAAAACTAGTCCCCTTGCTGTACTTTCCAGAGGGAAGGTTTCTGAGCAGGCTGTGCAACCCTAAGTACATTGATTAACTGATACACATTAGTCAATGTGTCTAGGCAACGGTTTTGCTCAATGGTCAAAGACTGGAAAACTGGTGGGAAAGACACTTGAAGAAGAGATAGGTGGACAGATCTATCCATGTGGGCAAAGAATGTGATGATGCTCGCGTCCCATGCAAATACTCATCAAAAGGTGACTTCAGCAGGGGAGAAGTTAATGATCAGGCAGACAGGATGATTTGTCTGTGGACAAATGGACATAGGCAGCTCAAGTACACATTATGCTTGGGCTCAGCCACAGGCACTTTCACTCTGCAGGTCTGACCTAAGGATTGCTTCTAATGAATACCAAGTCTTCTAACAGCAGAGATCAACACTAAGTCCTAGAGCAATCAGTCAGCAACCTGGTTATACGTTAACTTCTTTGGATACTTGTAACATGGCAAGGGCAGTATTTTATCTTTTTTATGGATACTTTTTATGGGTATGGAAAATCAATCATTTTATTGATTTTCTTTTTATGAATATAAGACTTCTGCTAAAACTACCATCCATGGACTTACAGAATGCCTTATTCAACGTCTCCTATGCTGTCAAACACAGCATTGTTTTTGACCAAGGAGACAAATGTGACAGAGGGCCATGCCCATGGGATCAATTAGTTTTCACATTTCCCTGGACAGAATGGGGGAATGGCCTTTTAAAGACACAGTTATCATGCCAAATTAGGCGTCCAAAGCTTGTAGGGCTTGGTCAGAGTTCTTCAAAAGCCAGCATATGATGTAAAGCAGTAACAACGTAAGAAAATACTTTTCCTATAGCCAGCACTTGCTGGTCCAGGAATCAATGGATAGAAATGGGAATATCACTCCCCATCAACTCTACTGACCCATCGTGGCCTTCTGACAAGGGTCATGTGCTTCTATGGGGGTGCTTACAAACACTGCACTGGATTGGAAGTTCAGACCCCACCTCACAGCCATGTTGAACTCCTGATGTCCTTGAGTCAAGAGAGTAAGAGAAAGGTACAGTATTAGGAGTGGTGTTGACTCAGACAACCAGAGGGAAGCTGGACGGCTGCTTCTCAGCAGAGTTACTGAGAATTCCGAATGTGGGACAATCCTTTAGGGAATCTCTTGATAGTATTAAGTTTTGTCATTAAGGTCAATTAGAAACTGCAATAACCTAATATAGGCAGGATGTCAAAGGGCTCAGTGACATCAGGAATGAGGTTATGGTTAGTCTCTCCAGGTTGAAATACTTTCTGAGGGTAGAGGAAACACATAATGGGTAATTGAAGAAGGTGGTTATAATATCAGCTAAGGCCACGTGTGAGAGAGATTCAGATACAGATTGTAATTGCCAAAAGCAGATTCTATTTTCTTAAAAGTGGGTATATGTGTGGAGATATTTGTGCTTTTTCCCAATATAAACTGAGAAAACATCAGTAGATAAGTGGTGCAGATTGGTGTTATCATATTTAAATTATAGGGCACTAAAAGGCTGAGTTTCTCAAGGTACCTTTCTACCTTTCCCAGGGAGAAAAAGAGTACCTCTGTGTTTGTATGTGGAAAAGTGAAATCATGGTGTCGTTATTATTTTTATTTGGAAATTCAAAATTACTATTGTTGCCACTCTCTTTCACGCTCCTACTTGTAGCATAAATTTTAATTTTCTTAATAATAAAAAGTTAGGGTTTGGAGAGATGGCTCAGACTACTGACTGCTCTTCCAGAGGTCCCGAGTTCAATTCCCAGCAACCACATGGTGGCTCACAACAATCTGTAATGAGATCTGGTGCTCTCTTCTGGCCTGCAGACATACAGGTAGGCAAAACATTGTATACATAATAAATAAACAAATCGAAGGAAAAGCAAACCAAAACCCCGAGTCAGCTATCAAGGGGTGAAAGTTGAAGGATCAGAGAAGCAGAGCAGCCAGTCACTAGAGTTCTTACCTCTATCAAAGCTCAGACCGAAAGGGCAATCCTATTCTCAGACTGCCTCCTCAAGACTGCACTGAGCCTTATATTGTTATATTCCTCTCTCTGCCCAGCCATATCACTCCTATCTTCACCTAGCACTGGGATTAAGGGTGTGTGATACCAAGTGCTAGAATCATCTTCCTGTGAGCTCCATTTCTCTTTTAGACTTTATCAATTTAATGTAGCTCAGGGTGGCCTTGAACTCACAGTGACCCGTCTGCCTCTGTCTCCCAAGTCCAGGGATTAAAGGTGTGTGCTACCACCTCCTGGCCTCTAGCAGTTTAACTTTGCACTCTGATCTTCAGGCAAGATTTATTTGTTAGAACACAAACAAAATATCACCACACCTACTACGATGGCCTGGTAAACCCCACTTAAAGTGTTCAACTGTTTGTCTAGTCCACAAGCCCCAAAGTCTTCTATATTCTTACAACAAACAGCATGGTCAAGCCTATCACAGCAATACACACCACTTCCTGGTACTGACTTCTGTCTAGGACACTGTTCTATCACTGTTCTATTATTGTGATCAAGGAAAGTCTTATAAAAAAGAAAGACATAGTAATTTTAGAGGTTTAGTCCATTTTACTCACGGCAGAGAGCATGGAGGCACAGAAGCGGGCACTGGAGCAGGAGCTGAGAGCACTGCATACTGATCCACCAGCAGAGACAGAGATGGACAGATAGATGATCGATACATAGATGGATTGTAGACAGACAGACAGACAGACAGACAGACAGGCACACACGCATGCACGCACGCACTCACTCACCCACGCTGGGCCTGGCTAGGGCCACCTGCCATATTTCCTCCCACAAGGCCTAATCCTTTTAAATCAATGCCATCCCTGGTGACTCAGCATTCAAATATAGCAGCCTATGGGGGCCATTCTTATTCAGACTGCCACAATGTGTATGGTATACCTTTTAGTTATCTAGTCTCATTTTCTTTATCTCCCATATAAAATAAGAGGGATATAGTAAAAAAGGGTAAAAAAGAATTTTGCTCACCAGTTACCCAGTTGTAACATTAAGAAAAGCTACTTCATTTAAAAATTAGACAAATCACCAAGGCTTCAAATAATCAATTATTTTACAATCCTATTAAACATTATAGACCTGACAAGTTTCCTTCTATTTCACTTCCAATGATTATCAAAATTATATTCTTACAGTCTTTTTCATCCCTTAGCAGTATATGGCCTACATATGAATCAAGGAAGTAAATAATCTTCAAGTCAAAACAATTAACTTTCAGTTTTCCGAACTTCAAGAACAGAGTCTGCACAGATGCAAAGAAGATACTGAAACAAGACTTCACTCTGAA